GCTCAGGGGTAGGGGCCGTGGGGAGGACCGTAGGTCCCCCCCTTATTTTTTTTTAGGGCCCCCACCGCACAGGGGTGGGGGTTGGGGGGGACATTAAGTCCCCCCCATATTTATTCATGGCCCCCACCCACCGCTCAGGGGTTAGGGCCGGGGGGGGGGACATTAGGTCCCCACCAATTTTTATTTATGGTCCCCACCTGGTATAGCGAGTAGGTGCATAATTTACTAATACTAAGTGACCAGCTTCTATAGAGGCTGGGTCACTTGCTGCACTGGCCAATCACAGTCATGCCATTAGTAGGCCCTGCAGCATTTCAAAACGCTTCATTAAATCGCCGAACACCGAACTCCAACCCGAACATACAGTGATATGTCCGTGTTCGGGTCCAGGGTACAAAAAACGTAATGTTCGGTACGAATCCGATCTTTTCAGTTCGGGTTCGCTCAACTCTACATTTAACACTTTCCTTCACATATGTTCCACGTTGTATTCCTACAATTTTCAGCAAAAGTTTGACTCTTGAATTGCAGAAGGGTTTAAGGTCTGTATACGGCCCTCAAATGTTAACATCTGTGACATCATATGCAAAGTCATTGCTGTAACGTGATATACGTGTTATGAGCTTGTGGTTTAGAGAAAGGCGGGAGCCACCTGCGGTAATGACTTCCAGGAAATGACTTCCAGGAAATGCCTTAACCCCTGAACTGATCTGGGAGATTTTTGGATATGTTGGTCACCTAGATCAGGGCTATCAGGGGATGTGACATTTGTGGGGATATCATGTGTTTTGGAGTACTTTTTAGAAATGTGTGTTGTTTTTGCCTGGAGATAATTGAGTTGATACAGTAATTAACTCAATTATTTCCCAAGCAGAGGGGAGGGATTGTTTGCCCTGTGTGGGAGTGCCTTACATTGTAAATGTCTTGTTATTGGTTTGGAAGTTTGTCTCCCTGTGCCCAACAAAGTCCACCTGGGTGTCACCCTTGTTGGGAAAATTGCATAAAAGGTCAGTGTGCCTCCATTAAAATCCTATTCTAGCTTACACTCCAAAACTGTGACTAGAGCTCCCAGGACTGAGTGTCGTCCAGTGCCAGGGGGTGTCTAAAGCTAATTCCTCATTCAGCTCTAGGAAAGAGTAGTTCCAGGGCCCCAGTCAAGCCACAGCGAGTGTGGGCAGAAGTGCTGAGGTTTGTCCCCTGTTCCAGCTAGGAAGCGGTCCTTGGCGGAGGTATCCAGTCGGGGTACAGGGAGCTCCGCTACAATCATGTTCCTTTTTCTTTATTTTTTCCCAATTTCAGTTAAATCTGTGTTGTTTCAGGGCTGACTCCTACTGTATTCATACCTGTGGTAAATCCAAAATCGCAAATTCTGAGTGGAACTGTAATGGATCCCCTATACTCCAGCTGAGTATATCCATGCAGAATCCAAGTGAAATCCAAGTGTAGCAGAAGGTGTAGTGAATTACAGCTTCCAATCCCCCCAAACATGAGCCAAGACTTCATGAAGGGGTAAAACAATCTTGTTACGGTACCTCCAGTAAGGAAATGCACAAACCGCCGTTTAGCGAATGCTCCCCGTTCGCAATAATGGGGTCTAGTAGCGTGTATAGTAAAACCATGCGAACCGCCAGTTAGGGAACACTCCAAACTCCCGAACGGTACCTGTACGGCTCTTTCCCTTCACGAGCTCCAAATCCACGAACTGCCAATATTAGCCGAACGCCAATATCTTCCAAGCGGCAAATAATTCCAATAAGCAGTCTCTAAGCGCTGGTAATAAAATCCCCCCAATAACGAGACCAAGCTCCGCTTTGAGGGTAAAACACCAAGTGATTTACTGTGGGCTACCTGCCCGGTATTTATGCAGGTCTCCCACTTGGTGGACACTCCCCTAGGGGACCAAATGGGAGACTGAAAGGACAGAAGGACATGGGGACATTTTGGACATACATCCCCACAATATTCCCAGCTTGGGAGATAATTGGGAAGTAATTCAATTATCTCCCAGAGCAGAGGCAAATCGCCATTTTAAATACAAGTCATAAAACACATAAAAATCTATAACTTTATAACTGCCGAACATATTGCATTCGTGTAACACATCCCCAGATAGCCTAGATCTGAGGGCATATTATTGGCGAATAGCACTCAGATCCCATTCGCATAGTTCAATCGCCATGGAGTCAAAGTCTATTACAGTTCTTCGGTATGCGATTGACTCCATGGGAAGGCTATCTGAGTTAAGTCCATTCGTGTTGTTGAATCTCCCGAACGGCCGGCATTCGTATGCTTTTGTCGATTGAGAAGGGGAGGTCGACTGCTTCAGCGGTGTTTTCGTTTGAAAAAGTGTCCGTTTTCAGTTCCATGAAATAACCGTCGAACACCGCTGGTCTTTTGCATGGTTAAAATGGCCGTCGCCTCGTGGTCGACATACGAACGACGACCACCCGGTATTCGGTTTTAATTGAGAAGTGTCTGTGGTTAACCGCAACATTCTAATTGGGATCAATAGGTTAACCAGCAGCACACTTCTCTTCTGGGTGGCCGTCCGTTCGGTAGTTTCATTCGACAAAAACCGACATTCCCTTAAACAAAGCATACGAATGGGGGAATTCATGCAACCGGCAAAACAGACGAACACAGTACTTTTAGTCCAGGCAGATGGGTCTGTCACACGGCTCCCCCCTTGTGGAACACTCCGGCAGACCCGGCTTGACCCTTTGGCGGGTCAACTTGGGGATGACCGGACTGGGAAGGTGTAGGGACGTCTGTTTGCCGGGACAACCCATCCGCATTCCCATTCTGCTTACCGGGTCGGTAGCTGATGGTGAAGTTGTAAGGCTGCAGTGCCAAACTCCACCTCAGCAGTCTGCCATTGTCTCCTGAGACCCGGTTAAGCCAGACAAGGGAGTTGTGATCCGTAATAAGTGAAAACTCCTGCCCGTACAAATAAGGGCTCAATTTCTTCAGTGCCCAGACCAGGGCTAAACACTCTTTCTCCACTGCCGCATAACTCACTTCCCGAGGTAGTAACTTTCTGCTTAAGTATGCGACAGGGTGCTCTCCTCCATCTTCCCCGACCTGGCTCAGCACAGCCCCCAGTCCATACATGGAAGCATCTGTATGAACAAGAAAGCGTTTGTTAGGGACTGGGGCAGCCAGGACAGGGGTATTCACAAGAGCCTGCTTAAGTGCTTGAAACGCGGCTTCACAAGCTGGAGACCACAGGACCTGCTTAGGTAAATTCTTCTTAGTCAGGTCAGTCAAGGGCTTGGCAACCGTACTGTAGTCGGGGACAAAACGTCGGTAATACCCTGCCGTCCCCAGGAAGGCCAGCACTTGGGTCTTGGTGATAGGTGTGGGCCAGTTAGCTACAGCCTCTACCTTGGCTGGCTCCGGTCTCTGGTTTCCACATCCTACTCTGTGACCCAAGTACTGCACTTCTGCCATGCCTAGATGGCACTTGTCTGGCTTCAAGGTCAGGCCTGCGGCCCGAATCTTGTCCTGCACCACCCCCACGTGTACTAAATGGTCTTCCCAGGACTCACTGTAGACCGCAATGTCATCCAGGTATGGACATGCAAAGTCCTGGAAGCCATCGAGGTGCCTATCCACCATACGCTGGAAAGTAGCCGGAGCATTCTTCATCCCAAATGGCATAACCTTAAACTGGTATAGGCCAAATGGGGTGACGAATGCCGACTTAGGGATAGCATCCTCGGCCAGGGGGATCTGCCAATAACCTTTACACAGGTCAATGGTGGTCAGGTAGCGCCCCGTGGCAATACGGTCTAATAACTCGTCTACCCGGGGCATAGGGTAGGCGTCAGTGGTGGTCCGCTCGTTGAGCCGCCTGTAGTCCACACAGAACTGGGTGGTCCCATCTTTCTTAGGCACCAGAACTACAGGCGAGGCCCAAGGGCTGTCTGAGTGTTCGATAACCCCCAGCCTGGTCATCTCCTGTATCTCCTTCCGCATTCCTTCTCGGACTGCTTCAGGGATACGGTATGGGGGTTGTCATAGGGGGTTCTGTCCGGGTGTCTCGACCTTGTGTACAGCTAGGGTAGTGTACCCGGGTTCTTGGGAGAATGTCGCCTGCTTCTCCCACAGTAACTGTCTTGCCTGTGCCTTCTCTGCCGGGTTTAGCCGGTCCCCCAGCTGTACGAGACTAGTAAGGTCTGTCTGGGGATCCCTCTCTAACAAGTCAGGTAACGGTAAGTTCTCGGGGTCGTCAGTAGCTGGGGCACAGACTGCCGCAACATCCTCTGGTCGTTCCTGATACTCCTTCAGCATGTTCACATGGAAGGATCGCTGAATCCTTTCATCTGAACAGCTGGCTATAAGGTAGGTATCACATACCTGAGCTAACACTTTATACGGGCCCTGCCAAGATGCTTGCATCTTGTTCGTCTTCACAGGCTTGAGTACCTTCTGCCCAACCTAGAAGACCCGCTGTCGGGCACCCCGATCGTACCACCGTTTCTGTCTCCCCTGGGCTGCCTGGAGATTCTCCCTTACCATCAGGGATAGTTTCTCCATGCGGTCCCGGAGTTCCAGGACATATGGTACTATGGGGGTCCCTTCTTGCTCTGTCTCCCCCTCCCAGTGTCCTCTAATGAGATCTAGGGGTCCACGGACCCTTCTCCCATAAAGTAACTCAAAGGGGGAGAACCCAGTAGATTCCTGGGGCACCTCTCTGTATGCAAATAGCAGATGAGGCAGGAATCGCTCCCAGTCTCTGCAAGTGTCAGCAAATGTCCTCAACATCTGTTTGAGGGTGCCATTAAATCGCTCGCAGAGACCGTTAGTCTGTGGGTGATATGGTGAGCTAAGCAGAGGTTTAATACCGCACACCTTCCACAGCTGCTGGGTAAGCACAGCGGTGAACTGAGTTCCCTGATCGGAGAGAATCTCCTGAGGGAACCCGACCATAGTGAAAATCTTAACCAGGGCATCAGCAACCGTCTCTGCCTCTATATTAGACAGTGCTACTGACTCTGGATAACGTGTGGCATAGTCCACCACGGTGAGAATATACTTCTTACCTGGTGGGCTAGCCCTGGCCAGTGGACCCACAATGTCAACGGCTATGCGGGAAAAGGGTTCTCCAATGATAGGCATCGACTGAAGCCTAGCTTTTGGGTGATCCCCCTGCTTACCTACCCGTTGACAGGTGTCACACGTGCTACAATAAACCCGCACATCTCGGTTAAAATTGGGCCAGAAGAAGTTTTGTGTGATTCTAATCTCCTGCCGGTATTTTACAGGTACCACTAGCTGTCGATTCTGCGGAGGGGTACTCGGCTTCTGGGACGGTTTCGGGATCCTGTACAGTCTATTCCCCACCCACTCATAGTGCTCCCCATCTACTCCTTCTCCCCCAGAATCGGCCCTGGCCCTGTACTTCGCTAGCGTCGGGTCTTCCCTGGTTTCCTTCCTGTACATCTCTGGGGTATCCCAGCCTAATGGGGCCTGGTCTAAGTCGGGGTAGAGAGTCTTACCTGGGTCTCAACAGCAGGTGGGCCGGTCTCGGCGGCACGGGTCTGAGCACGGGTCGTGACAGCATCCACTTCAGCGGGACCAATGGGAGCGAAGGCGGAAACAAGGGGCGCCAAGTCATTGCCAAGGAGAACATCCGCTGGTAAGTCCTTCATGACCCCCACATTCACATGTCTAGCGCCCACTCCCCAATCCAAATGTACCCGGGCAATGGGTAGATGAAACACTGCACCCCCGGCTACTCGCACTGCGACCGTGTCCCCTGTATGTTGGGCTTCGGATACCAGGTGCTTCTGGAGCAAAGTCATGGTTGCCCCGGTATCCCGTAGACCACTGACCTCCTTCCCGTTGACTTTTACACACTGTCAGTGGTGCTGCCTGTTATCCCGGTGGGCAGCCTGAACGGGGTCTGCCTCATGCAGGATGCCCCAGCACTCCTCTTCCTCTACACAGTGAGCGGCTGGGATGGGCGGTTGTGGATTGCCGCCGGCTGGTCTCCTCCAGGACTGGTTATGGTTGGCGCTGTTCATCGGGCACTCGGGTCGCTTGTGCCCTAGTTGCTTGCACAGGTAGCACCGAATGGGTTGGGCATACTCCCGTGAATTAAACCGAGGTGGCTGTTGGTACGGGGCAGATGGAGGAGGCGCTGCTGGGCGATTCATTGGAGGCGGATATAGGTTGGCTGCTGTTGGTGCTGCTGGCCTGTACTCCACTCTGGCGGGAGCCTTGCTGATGAGACTGTCCAGTTTGCGGGCGTCGGTATACTCATCCGCCAGGCGAGCTGCTTCGTGCAGAGTGGAGGGTTTACGGTCCCTTACCCACTCTCTGACCCCTGCTGGCAATTTATCGAAACAATGTTCCAAAAGAAACATCTGCAGCACCTCTTCTCCGGACACAGCCTGGTACCCCGCCATCCAGTGGGCGGCTGTGCGATGCACCTTACATGCCCATTCCACGTATGAGTCCCCAGAGGTCTTGACAGTGTCTCGGAACCTCCTCCGGTACGCCTCAGGTGTAACGGCATACCGGGAGAGTAAAGCTTCCCTGACGGCCACATAATCCCCAATCTCCTCGTCAGGGATGGCCCGAAAAGCCTCGCTGGCCCTGCCGGATAACTTGCCGGACAATATAGTAACCCAGTCTTCCAGGGGTACCTTGTGCAGGGCACATTGCCGCTCAAAATCAGCAAGGTACCCATCAATCTCTCCTTCTGTCTCACTGAAGGCTTTAAACGCTGTAAATAGTACTTTCTTCCTATCTCCCGGGTTTGCTGTGACTGGGGCTGCTGCAGCACCGCTTTGGCGAAGCAGGTTGGCCTCCACAGCTGCCATGACCTGGTCAATGGTCTCTGTAGTCGGGTTGGGACCATAATGTGCCAGCCTGATTCTTACCGCCCGGTCAAAGCTTGCCTCCTCGGGGGTTCTGTCAGCTGCGCTGGGTCCATTGGTTCCCTCTGCCGCTGGTACTCCATCCATTTCCAGCAATAACGCAATAATCTCCCTTTTTCTGAGGTTACTGGCTTGTCCCCCTCTTTGCTCTAATAAATCCTTTAGGGTAGCTCTCCTCAGGTTTTGGTATTGCAATTCCATATTAATCCTGGCTGCAGTGGTCTCTTTGGGCGTTAAGGATCATCCCGTCGCTTGCCACCAGTTGTTACGGTACCTCCAGTAAGGAAATGCACAAACCGCCGTTTAGCGAATGCTCCCCGTTCGCAATAATGGGGTCTGGTAGCGTGTATAGTAAAACCATGTGAACCGCCAGTTAGGTAACACTCCAAACACCTGAACGGTACCTGTACGGCTCTTTCCCTTCACGAACACTACATTCATTACACTGACACACTCTGCATTCACTACACACTAACACACACTCTGCATTCATTACACACTCTGCATTCACTAAACTATGCACACACTCTGGATTCACTATACTGACAGACACTCTGCATTCACTGCACAAACACACAAACTGCCAATATTAGCCGAACGCCAATATCTTCCAAGCGGCAAATAATTCCAATAAGCAGTCTCTAAGTGCTGGTAATAAAATCCCCCCAATAACGAGACCAAGCTCCGCTCTGAGGGTAAAACACGAACTGATTTACTGTGGGCTACCTGCCCGGTATTTATGCAGGTCTCCCACTTGGTGGACACTCCCCTAGGGGACCAAATGGGAGACTGAAAGGACAGAAGGACATGGGGACATTTTGGACATACATCCACACAATATTCCCAGCATGCATCACAGTTCCCTCCCCTCTGCTCGGGAGATAATTGAGAAGTAATTCAATTATCTCCCAGAGCAGAGGCAAATCGCCATTTTAAATACAAGTCATAAAACACATAAAAATCTATAACTTTATAACTGCCGAACATATTGCATTCGTGTAACACATCCCCAGATAGCCTGGATCTGAGGGCATATTATTGGCGAATAGCGCTCAGATCCCATTCGCATAGTTCAATCGCCATGGAGTCAAAGTCTATTACAGTTCTTCGGTATGCGATTGACTCCATGGGAAGGCTATCTGGGTTAAGTCCATTCGTGTTGTTGAATCTCCCGAACGGCCGGCATTTGTATGCTTTTGTCGATTGAGAAGGGGAGGTCGACGGCTTCAGCGGTGTTCGGTTGAAAAAGTGTCCGTTTTCAGTTCCATGAAATAACCGTCGAACACCGCTGGTCTTTCGCATGGTTAAAATGGCCGCCGCCTCGTGGTCGACATACGAACGACGACCACCCAGTATTCGGTTTTAATTGAGAAGTGTCTGTGGTTAACCGCAACATTCTAATTGGGATCAATAGGTTAACCAGCAGCACACTTCTCTTCTGGGTGGCCGTCCGTTCGGTAGTTTCGTTCGACAAAAAACGATATTCCTTTAAACAAAGCATATGAATGGGGGAATTAATGCAACCGGCAAAACAGACGAACACAGTACTTTTAGTCCAGGCAGATGGGTCTGTCACAGATCTTTTTAATGGTGGCCACAGCTTGGCCTTTTATGCAGGTCCTCCAGCAAGGGATATGTTACAAAAGACTGGAAATCACCATGTTGCTGTTTTTACTCACTGATTGATACTGTTTGCCACTGCATAAGTTAAACAGAAAACCACACGAATGGATTACACGAACCCTTAGGGAGGCGCCATTCGTGGTACGAACGGGGGACCCCCCAGAAACTGGCGTGTGCCGCCACTTAACCCCGTCACCCCGAAAACTACCGAACGGGCGGCCCCCCCGGCTCGCGGAGTGTGGTAGCCATTAACCACCCAGATGGCTGCGGTTTGCGGTTAACCACAATGTAATTGGTAGGCCTGGGGGCATCGACGTTCGCACCCAAAGTGCCGAAGGGAAAATACCGAACGACCCACCGAACGACGACCCCCTACAGCGGGTCGCGTGGCGCTCATTAACTGTGGTTTCTGCGGTTAACCGCAGGTCAAGTACCCTGCTCCCAGGTGGTCCTCATTCCCTTACCGAACGAGCCCACTACCAGCCCGACAGCGGGACTTCGCAGGAAATGATACCGAGTTTAGTTCCACTAGTTAGACACGAAGTCCCGCTGCTCGCTAAACCAGCAGAAAACATGGCCGCCAACAAAGACTAACCATCTCAAAATGCCGAACGGACTTGATACGGCAAAAACAGTACATTCTGTTCGTGGGATTAGAGCGGCATTCGCCTGGTTTATCTATACGAACGCGAGCCTTCAAATGAATGGTGGAATGAATGGTTTTCCTGTAATAATGTACAAGTTATGGATTTTTATGTAGTTTTCTGGGACATAATAAAACGTGGTCTTTTGTGCGCTTGGAGATAATTAGATTGTAAAACCGTTGGCCTCATTATCTCCCAGCTAGGCGGGTACTAATTCAAATAATACAGTGTACTGTGATTGGTTACCTGTTTGTACTGTACCTGTATTCCATCAGGTCCACAGGGGGCTGTCCTTGGACCTGAGGAATCACATAAATTGCCATGCTATGTGCCAGTAAAGCCAGTTCGTTTGACCCTCAACTTGCAGCCTCGACTCATGTTGTAGGGATCCGGGATATTGATGCTTATATCGTGCTTGGGGATATTCTACACTTACAGCCGACTACCGAAAGACCTCCGTTCGACTCTCTACAGCGGGAACCAGGACATCCAAGCGATCAACCCCCCTGCTAGACCGGGGGCAATCGTAACAGGATACTCCCACTGGGACCTTGTGGAGGACTGAAACACAAGTTACAGTAACCAATCACAGTATAATACAAAGTTAAACACTCCCACATGAACAGTGAAATCCCTCCTCTCTATCCTGGAGATAATTGAGTTAAATGGCCTCAGTAAACTCAGTTATCTCCAGGTAGAGAAAATATTTCAATTTTAGAAAGGTAACAAAATACATTAAAATACATTACTTATATTTTACCGAACAGAACCCCCACATTCGACATATCCCCAGATAGCTTGGATCTGTGCGCTCAATATAGCCAAACAGCGCTCA